GCCATCATTTTTTGCACTTTGGATTTCACCACCACACCACCGCGCACCCCCCGCTCACACAGTCACACACACCTGTCTATTGAACTGGGGCGTTAAATCAGGTGACCTAAGGCACTTTTCACCTGCTGCAGTGCAAAGTGAGTAGGTCTGCGGTACACTGTACTCGTACCGTACAAGTACTGCAATGCATAGCAAGGCGCTGCTGCGCATAGCACGATACCTCTACCCGTACCCATACAGGCTGCAGGTAAATCTGCCGGAAGCTCATGACTAGACAGATACCTGATTGGACTATCGCTTCAGCATACTGTGTCGGTGAGATAAGGTGACCCCTGGGGGAAGTGCTCGTCCGGTGCAGTGGAATGCTTTGTGGGAACATCACACACTGGTCCGAGCCTCTTGGTGCAAAATTGAGACATTGGTGATCGCATCCCTCCGTCTATCTCTTGTTTACGAGTCGCCCGCGCGAATAGGAAGGCTGGCGGTGTTTGTGCGAATGGGTTTCTTCATGCTTTGGAAACAAAAATCTGTATTGTGCAGTACTCGAGTACTGCAGATCCGCCACCCGCCCAGTCGCCCCCGCCACCCCATAACTTCACACCAGTATTTGTGCTTGTATCGATCACACATGTCGATCAGAGTCCGGGATCAAGGGCTTCATTCCAGCGATCCTTACTCGTACAGTATTCCCTCCTTCTCAGCGACCCGTCCTGGTTCCAGTCACCCAGTGCGAGGGACGATCAGGGCAGCCGAGGCGCCCCTTGATTACTCCTTTTTCTTCGCCGTTCCCGGGTAAGGAGTCGGGTCGATTACGCTGCAGAAGGCAGGCGACCATGAGTCAACCGCCATCCCTCCTATCATCACCGATAACACGATGGACAGTGTATGAGTCTTAGCCACTCAATTTTCTACATACTTCCTTCACCTACCATTCTCCTCCCCTCCTCCCAATTCTACCACCCCCCCCCCCATACCGTCTGCCTTATTATCATTCCGTACGTCGAAAAGGCTTGGCGTGAGTATTTATTGAATTCTAACCCAGTCACCGATTTCGGGGGCAGGAGGGGAGGGGATGATCTCCCCGTATATCCACTCGAAGCCAATCGTAGGATACCGGTAGTGTGTTATTGTACTCGAGTACTGATGCTGGTACAGTACCATGTCCTCGGAAGAGTTAATGTACGAGTAATGTGTCATGCGCTCCGGAGCGCACAGCCCCATCCCACCAAGTTTTGCACTTTTATACACTTTTTTCTTTTTTTCTTTTCTTCCTTTTTTTCATTTTTGCCTTTTCCCTCTTTACGAGTAGTAGTGCGTCCTCCGATATATAGCTACCGTCCACCGCTCTCTGCAAAGGAGAGGTCTTGCGCAAGGCTCCAGTAGCGAGTGTGAGAGAAAACATGACCAAGAATTGGGACAGCGTTAAGCTTACGCTACATGAGTTGTGAGTCCTACGACGGTGGATGGATTGAGGGACGTATTGAGGGACGGATGGAATGCTGACAACAAGTGCGGAAAGGTACATGGAGAAAAACCTCAAGCTCGACGATATGATTCGGATTATGAGGGAGTCCTATGATTTTAGTGCGAGGTATATAATCTCGTTTCTTTCCCCTCTTTTCCCACCCCCCCTTTTTCCCCTTCCCTACTGTACCAGCACATTCCGCCGTCCCGCATACTCTCGTCTCTCCTTCTTGGGCCTTGTGTTATGCTGCGGTGGGTGGGCCCCCATGCTGACCATACACATATAGTCCCAGGGGATACAAGAAGAAATTCAAACAATGGGGATGGTTGAAAAATGCCCCGGTAGGATATAGCCCCTCCCTCCACGGACGATTTCACCCTCCCCTACGGGAGCGCATTTCGTTGACGTTCGTAGAGAGATCCAGCGCGAAGGTCTTCTTCTAGACGAGCTGCCGTGAGTCCGCCGGATGACAATTCGGGCCTGGAAATACTCAGCGATGTCGCGGCCGGAAGCCAGCACTCGCCAGAAGAATTTGCGAATGTTGTGGATGGCGGGGGAGACTCTGAGGTGTGTTGTTTGTTTTGCCGCAATATATCGCCCTAGAAGTTGGCTTTGGCTGGTTACTGACTTTCGGTCGACCGGATTGATTGATTGGTTAGCCGGTGCAAGCGACCGATGGATCGATTCCCGTATACCACTACAATAAGTACTTGCCGATAAAAATGGCTCCACAGGTTCCTGCTCAAATAGGTACTACCGGTGGGAGGGAATCTCCTGTAAATACCCTTCCGCAAGCTTCGTCAACGTCCCCGAAGCGGAGGGTGAGGGAACATGGAGGCAGGCCAGCTACCCATCCTTACAGCCGGCCACGACAAAACTCGCAGTCGCAGTCGGGACATCGGCGGGGACTAGGTAGTCTCGAGAGTATAAACGTAGGTCTCACGGGCATGGAGATCGATCCCACAACTACAGCGGTGACAACCCCTATAGTAATGCATACGCCACCACTACAATCTCCATCATACTCACACTATATGTCTTCCTCCTCCCCGATCCCGCAGCAGACAGAGCAAACCAAGATTTCGTCGATCCAGCTATCGGCTTTCAAAGCCCACGTGATCGATCCATCGCTCGCCGAGTTTCCCACATATCGACTCAGCCCTCCGCGTCTGAAGACTGACTTTATAGACGAGATATCGAATAAAGTGCTGCAAACGGCGCAGAAGTACCAGCAAAAAAATGACTTCCATTCAGCCGCCGCGATACTCCAATTAGGCCTAAGCAAGATAACACTTATGACCGCTGACCCAAACGAGCTATTTTCCCCGGAGCCGAGCCACGTATCATTGGCCCGTGTGATGGGCGGGTTTGTGGAGAGCGTATCGTGGGAGAACGTGTGTCTCTTCAGGGGCGGCTTCATGCTCGCTTTACTTCTGAGCACGAATTACGAGAAAATCGGGGACATGCATGTGGCCATATACGTTCTCGAGCAGACCTTGAAAGCCGTGCTCATGTCCCGAGTCGGAATACTGGCCGCTGGTGAGGACGAGGAAGGAACGCTCGAAGGCATGTTTGAATTTGCGGACGAGGACTGCAGCAGGGTACTCCAGTCCATAGTACGGATTCGAGAGCTGAAAGAGGGGGGTGATGTATTGGAGCACAAAGCTATCATGGCCGGAACCTTCGGCATACTGGAGCGTTTTCTGGCAGATTGGGAAGGGGCGTTCGGGGTCCTTGGCGTGTTAAACCTGGGCGAGTTCCTCGACGGCCTACTAGGCCTTGCGAAGAGGCACAAGATGGAGCCGGCGGCAGTTGGGCAGCTCAGGCAGATCCTCTCCAGGGCAGAGAAGGTGCTCGTGTCGGGTGGCGGTCCAATTGGTGTCGCTGGGGACAGCGAGAACTTCCGCTGGATTTCGGCACGGTACTTCTCCAGGATTTCGAGGAAGCTGTCGGCGCTGTATGAGTTATCCGGGCAGTCCCTCGCGGGGATTCACCTGCTCAAGCGGGCAGCCCGGATAGTCGGGAGTAACCATGACGGGCGCCCGTCCAGGAAGGAAAAGCGGGAGATGTTTGAGGCAACGAAAGCCCAGGCGCGGCTACAGGAGAATAGTGGCCTCTGGGAGGCGGCAGATAAAGCGTGGAAGCAGCTCCGGGGCGTGTTAGACGAACGGGAGGATTTTGAATTGACTCTGAAGGCGGACGTAGCTATCGCCGAACTCTTCGCTAGGAACGGAAGACAGGCTGAGGTGTTGGTGTTCTTGGAACATAGGATTAACGAGTGCTTGAGGTATAAGATGCTTGAACAGCAGCCGCCCAGTACCCAAGCGGCGCTCGATGACGCCGAGCCAATATTTTTGGCCGTCTTGGCTCTGGCAAAGTTAAGGCTTTCTGGGACGGGGGCCGTGGCTAATACTCCGCCGGCTCTACAGGCGTATTTCAATTGGCTGCTCAGCATTAGGGGGTTGGATGGGAGCGAGAAAATTGCCATAGCACATAAAACTCTAGAACTGCTCACAGAATTACAGCCCAGCCATCCGAACCTAGCCTGCGCAGGCTTAATTATGTACGACGGATTTCTCCCGGGATTCATCGACCTCCGCAGCACTACCGCCCCATCACTACCACAAAATGCCTCCCACCATGCCGCCATCCTCCGCTTCTTGTCCCTAATCTACAACACCGCTGGCAAGGACGACCAGCCGAGGCCCACAATCTCCCACATTGTAGCCGCATTGTCATTACTCTACGAAACGCACCTATCCAGGGCCCAGACAAGCACCGAGATACTCCTCTACGTCCACAACCTAACCTCTGTCATCTGCAGCTCCTCTAAGGGCCGTGTATGCGAGGAGTGCAAAGTGGATGAATTCACCACAGCAGTGGCACTAGCAGAGCACTACGAGAGCCAGGGCGCGGCTCGAGATGGCGCACGTGTAATAGCGCAAATCATCGACGAGGCAGAGCCCGAGTTCCTGATCCCGGCAACGAAAGGATGGGTAGGCTTCAGCTGGCTGAAGGTTCTCGTGCGCATAGCAAAGTTTTACATCCGCCAGGGGCAGTCCGTCGCCGCAGTGGATATCCTCGAACGGGTACACAGGGCCAGCGTTGAACTGGGCGATTGGGACCGACGGGATCCGACCAGGAAAGCGGAACAGTTTGGGGTTTTCGACGAGAGCCGGAGGTTATTGATGGAGTTTGAGCCCGCTTCTGTACTTTGTAAGTGTGTATGAATATTAGGTTTACACGATCGCCACCCGTTTTTCTTCTTTTCTTATCTGTGATGGCCTGGATGGAGTTTGGAACCTTGTACGATAGGATATTATGATATAGGCGTGCCGTGCCGCGTTGGCGGAGATATGATGTCGATGAACCAGACCAATTAAGCTTTTTGGGCTAGGACTCGAGTGACGATGTATGAGGGGCAGGGGTAAGGGCACGGAGCTGAGGCCTAGGGCGATCGCTGCCGGAATCATGGTGGAGCCGCATTCCGAAAAAAATTACGAGTCGAAAATTGGCCATCGCAACCCATCCCTTCCCTTTTGCCCATGATATCTTGGCATCCCCTTTTTCCTGTGCCGCTGTACGAGTACCGTACTGGAGGACCGGTAACAGGTACGGGTGCACGAATGGCACGGAAGGATTGTCGCACTTGAGCGATCATCTCCTGCTGCTGTTCTGCCCTTAACCGTGCCGTCGCAATCCATCTACCGATACTGTGCTCGAGTGCCGGCACGTCGGCTATGTCATGCACCGTGCCCCACAGTACGGTATAGTACGAGTACAGTAACCTCTCCGGACCTTCGTATACTCTGTGGTACTGCACCCGCTAGCACCCCACTAGCTCTCCCTCACTCGCTCACTCATTCACTCGTTCATTCACTCCGGGGTTCTTTTCCCCTAATTTTTGTGGCGCCCAACGTTCATTCCTTTTTCCCCCCTTACCCACCCCCGGGAGGTCGTGTTGGTGGTATTGTGCTTTCTCGCTTCCTCTCCTTTTTTCTTCGAATGTCCTCCCTTTCGTCCGCACGCTCGTTTTACCGTCCCGGGTCAACTTCCATCGCAATGGTACCCGCCCGCGATCGCGGTTTTCTGGCAAACCTCCGGCCCTATTATTATCGGAGTGGGAAACGGAAGGAGTGGAAGAGCGCCCTGTTTTCTGTACGGAGGCTGGTGGAGGCTGCGTGGATTGTTGTTCTTTGGTGGGGTGAGAGGAGTGTTTTCAAGAGTACGATAGAGGCTTGCCAATGGGATGGGTGGGAGGATTGGGTATTCCCCCCTTGAGACCTTCCAGGGGAGAGAGTGTGTGGGAGCTTGTTGGCTGACAATCGGTAGCCTGAGGGTGCTATGCCCCATCGGGTGGTCCTAATAGCTGATCCGCAGCTCGTCGATCCGCACACTTACCCCCGCCGTGGACCACTCCTGTCTGCGACGATATTTTATACGGATCGGTACATGTCACGGTCGTACGAGACTATCCAGGAGCGGCTTTCTCCTTCCACGACGGTATTCCTGGGTGATTTATTCGACGGCGGACGGGAATGGACACACGAGCAGAGCTCGCTCTACGCTCAGGATCACCGGTTGCACGAGGACTTGATCCCCATTACTGAAGACCCCCGGGGAGCAAAGGATTGGAAGGATTACGATGACAGCTACTGGATGGGCGAGTACAGGCGGTTTTTGAAGATTTTCCCGAGCTGGCCCTACCGAAGGACTGTCAAAACATTACCAGGGAACCACGACTTTGGTATGGGAAACGGTATCCGAGAGGGGGTGAAGGATAGGTTCAGAACATACTTTGGCGAGACAAGTGGGGTATTGGAAGCAGGCAATCACACCATCGTACTAGTTGATTCTGTCTCTTTATCAAACGATAACAATCCAAAGATCTACCTGCCAGCGCGAGACTTCCTCGACAGCCTCCCAGATCTCTTAACAACCGCGCCGTCACAAGCCCTCCTCCCGCACGTCATCGAAGAAGCGGCAAATCCTCTACCCTCATCCCCGGAACCAGACTCCATCCCTCAAAACCCTACAATCCTCCTGACCCATGTCCCCTTGTATCGCCCCGCCAACACTCCCTGTGGCCCGCACCGGGAATCTAAAGACCCAATCCTCATTCACGCCGGTTATCAATACCAAAACGTCCTCCAACCGGCGCTTTCCTCGGAAATCCTGCAGAAGACGAACGCCAAGTACGTCTTCTCCGGGGACGACCACGATTACTGCGAAGTCGAGCACGCTGGGAACATCAAGGAGGTTACTGTCAAGAGTTTCTCCTGGGCGATGGGCGTGCGGAGGCCGGGGTTCTATATGGTCAGCTTGTACACTGGAAATGCGTCGCCGGATACGGAGAGTGTTCAAGGGAGACTTTGTCTGCTCCCGGATCAGTGGGGGGTATTTAATGCTTACATTTTCATGCTCCTGGTCACGGTTCTTGCTGGCGTGTTTGATTTCCGGAGGAGCAGAAGGGTTGCATCGAACCGTAGGGGGAACGTGTTACCGATGTCAAAAGGATTTGGAGATACCTTGAACGCGTACGGGCAGTCAAACCTGAAAAATAATGACTGGTGCGATGACGAAGACGGTGATTTCAAGTACTCCAAGAGAAAACAGTATTCTGCCGGGTGGAAAGCGTGGGTGGCATACGTCGTTTGGGAGGTCTTGTCGGTCGCTGTGGTGGTGTTTGTATGGTATGCATGGTTGATCTGGCGCTGGTGAGTGGCCTGCTGCACGGAATAAGTGAAAGCGGATAGTTCTTCCAGAGTAAGTAGAGTTCGTAGGGTAGCGGGTGGGAGACGTACGATTGGTTTTTGGCTGGATCGGAATACGATGGGTCTCAATTATTTCGGTTATAGTCTTCTACACATTTATTTATTAGGATTCTGGCTTTGACAAGGGTTTTCTTATTTCCTGTGTCGAGTGATCTTTTGTGATCGGGTGTTGTTGGGGTTCGATTCTATACTTGTGCTCGACCGGAGCAGGAACTATTATTGGCGAGGAGTGGGGTCTGCATGGCTGTGCCGAGAGCGGCGATAGTGATAGTAGCGATAATATAGGCGCTAGTCCCAAAATATATTTCCGTTACTTACGATACAAGATAAGCAAGAAAAAAGACAATCGTCACTCAAATCTATTAACACCGGACTATTGAAAACCCCTTCTACGAACGAAACAACAATCAGCTGCGTGGGAATGAGGTGAAGGGGACGAGCTAGAAAACATAGGCACAAGAAACCGTCTTGCCAAATCGGGGTTATCCCGGAGAAAGGAAAAGGAAACCTTGCAGCACCGCCGTTCGCCACCCGGGATGTCATAGTTATACAGTACGCGCTCTGCCACTCGATTATTCATTTTTTTCTTCTTCGAAATTGGAGTTTACCCAACGACATCATCTCCTGGAGCACCGCCGCCAGGGGCGCAGCACTTCCCGTCAACGCACCCGTCTCCGCATTCCAAAAGGCAAGCCGCCTCTTCTTCCGCGCTACCTCTTGCGCTACCTGTTCGACTCGCGGTCGCCTCCTCTTCTTTGGTGTATTCTGGCTGGATAGTGCTAGAGTGGATCCCATATGCGTGTAGACAAGTCCGGACGGCATTTGCAAGTTGCATATATCGCCCACCGCCTTCGCATTCTGGATCGAAGGCGATCTGGATGTGTAAGCTTGCAATCATTTTCACGTCGCTGAGTTGCCAGATGTGCAGTTCGTGGACGGATTCGACGCCTAGGATCGAGGCAATATCTTCTTTGACTTCCTCCAGCGAGATCCCCTTTGGTACGCCTTGTAGTAAAATTTTGGAGGCCGACTTGCAGAGTGGGAGGGCAGAGGAGAAAATTATTATTGTAATAAGCAGGGAGATGGAGGGATCAAGGAGGTGGCGCCACCAGATTTTTTCTGGGAGGAGGAGGAGAGCACCGGCTACTGACATTACGCCAACGTTTCCGAGTGCGTCGCCGAGGACGTGGAGGAAGACTCCGCGCATGTTCAGGTTTTGATGTGAATGCGAGGATTTGGTTTCCTTGGGTTTGGCATGGTTGTGATTTCGGTGGCAGGATCGAGAGTATGCTCGTTTGTGGCCTTTGCCGGCAGCCGGGAGAAGGGGGGTTTGTGAAGTGGGGACATCGGAGTCAGAGTCGGCCGATGAAATTACTGCCGATGAGGAGTGTTCCGTGTCACTAACCGCTGCGGCAATGACCTCCTGGCGATTGCGGGCGGGGTGAACGTGAATGTCGGTTACGGGGGATGCAAAGTGGCGTTGACGAGATCTATCGGTCGATCTTCTCCCCTTCTTTCGCGGGATAGATGAGCACGGGATCGGCTGGGATAACCTTGCGACAACTGTGTCCGGGAGGATATCGTCGATATCACCACTATCATCTTCTGCTGGGTCGTGAATATGGCCCCTTAGACCGTGTGTGTGTTTGTGATGCTCGTGACCTGCCGCTGCGCTTTTCGCCCCCATTAGGCTACCCTCAAGATCGCGTTCATGCGGATTGGCGCCGTGAGAATGGCCGTGATCGTGAAACAAGAATAAACCGAGGATATTCGAAGCGAGGCCAGCACTCCCGACGCCAAATACCAACCATGGGGCGGATACTTCCTGCGGCTCGATAAAACGCTGGATCGCTTCGAGGAAAATCGAGAGACACAAGGCAAGTAGGAATACACCGTTGATCAAGGCCCCAAGGACTTCGGCTCGTTGCCACTAGGGTTCACTTTGGTCAATCACAGCCATGGCCGGTGGAGGAGTGAGAACGTACCCCGTATGTATAGCTTGATGTGGATTTTTGCTTGGCTAGTTTAATCGCCCATAACGCCACCAGTAGCGAAAAAACGTCGTTCAGCTAACGACCCCTTTATGAGCTTCCCTGTTCCAACACGGAAGAGGAGGGGGTATTTCAAACCATATGAAAGGAATCGGCGACAAGGGCAAGGGAATGGACAGAGTATCCAACGATGATCTCCAGGAGGAAAAAGAGGGAATCTATCACCAGCAAGGTGATTATCCTTGCCGAACGGGAGAATGCCATGGTTGTTGTCGTTGGAGAGATGGAGGGCCGCGATGGAGAAGTGATGCCGTACCGGAAAGTTAAGGGTGGGGAGGAGGGAGGCTGACAAAGGCGAAGGTGTCACAGAGTAAAAAGGTTGAGACGAGAACTCTGGATGCTGAAGGCCTGAGATGGAACCAGAGGGGCGAATTTAATGACTTGATAGGATGTCGGGCCTGAGCTGGGGCAAGCAAGGAGGGTGATGATGGTTCATAACAATTGCTTTGTGGAATAAGTGCGGCATGAAGGGCGAGGTTAGGGGAAGAAAGGGGGCCGGGAAACAAGAAAGAGGGAAGCAGAGACCAAACATGTTTGCCGGTCCAGAAATATCTTATCGCAGTTATTTATTCAGACTTCCCCAATGTGGCGACCGACACCAAGTTGACTCAAAGGAGCCTAGCTCCATCTCGTCACATCATCTAACCAGTTGCGTCATGTTACAACCGTTCCCAGATCTTCGTGGATACTCATACGGTATGGTGCCGGCACCTTAGAATCAACCCTCATGACAGCCGAACTTTCCCAACTTTTCGGTGGGCAACAACAACATCACATATCATTATTTTACTTATTCCTTCTATATACTTGTAATCCTCCTAAAACATATAAAGAACACATTTACAGACCAGATTTCACTCAAGGGGTTTGGTTCTTTCTATAACAGCTGTTAAAGTTGAGGCAAAATTTGGGTGGAGCAAGGAGGTTGGCACTTGTGTGTGAAAAGCAGGTTTTTGCTGAGTAATACACCAACACATTGCCTAAAGCAGTATGGTCAGATACTACATTAGGACTAGTTCCCGGACCCGGATGGCACTGAGGGTCGATTCTAAGGTGCCGGCACCATACTCGTACGGTACGCGTACTGGTACTCGAGTGCGCTAGTCCCGGAGTCCGCGCCTTGATTTCTGGGACTTGCTCTTTGTGAAGAAGATGCTGACCTTGTGCCGTATTATACTGTACTGTATATACTAGTACAGTACATACTTGAGCCCGGCGGTGGTACGGTATGGAGGTTGAAGAGATTTGGGTTCTATAGGATCCGGAAGGAGTCGGGGAAATAATGTTACGGGATGGGCAGACTTGTTCACGCTCTCTCCCCACCTAAAGTACAAGTACTAGTACAACTAACCGCCGCAGACTGCCGTATCAATTTAAGTTAACCCAAACCCATCCCCAGAGAGTTCGATATCAACGAGGGATCTTCTACAAAACTTGTGAAACCGAAAAAAAGCAAAGCTCGCGTTGGAATTTGCACGAAATAGGGGCCATTGGCGGGAGGCAAGCGATGGGTGGCCGCTTGGTCTCTCTATCCGGTTATTTCCCTGATATCGGAGGACCAGTACGGTACTGTACTCGAGGACTCGTGGAGTCGTGAGTGTAAAGTTTTCGTATGATAACCTCTCTTTTTTCCTGCCATGAGTGATCACATCAGATACCTAAGGGCCTGTTTGGATACAACCTTTCAGTTCCGTTACCCCTTGCAAGCGGCAGTCCCCTTCCGCCACGGGGATGCCAAGATAACCATCTCTCCCTATAAAATCATCATTGAACGGAACAGTGGACGCGCCTACCGTTCCCGCAAAATAGCCCCTCAGTTTTAGCTTCATGTCCTCGCATCCGCCCACCACTCCACGGGCCTCAAGTGGTATGAGACAGATTGTGTTTGAACGCTGTAACGGTGCATATTCCGTCATGAAAGTGCGGGTTTATAACTAACTCGGAGCAACTACACTGCTTAAAAAACTCGAGTTTGGAATCGATATCGCGAATAGCAAGCGAGGTAAAGGAATAAATGTGTTGCCGAAAAACGCAAGCGTGTACAGTACCAGAAAGACAATCCCTGATCTTCAGCCCCCCTAGATCTCAACTGATCCTCTATATATGGTAAATCGCAAATTTCAACTGCCACAAGACAACGTTCCAGACTGACACCTCTGATCGAACCCATAATTACAGCAATTCCCACCAGCGCTGCACTCGTACAGATTGCTAAAGCAGGCGCCCCCCGTACATAATGTTAAGGCTGAGAAGTATCCGCACTTTGGCCCAGTAGAGAATTGGCTGTTGTACAGGCAACCGTCTTTCACGCAGGCGCGCTCCAGGCGTCTGGCCTCGGATTCCGCGCAGGGATTTGCGGGTGCCATGGCTTGAGAGAGGGTAAAGAAGTGGGCAGGAACCGAAAGCCGTTTTAGAAGCATTGGGGGTCTAAGTTAATCTTAGTCACAATCAGTGTTGTGGAATGCGGGGGAGAGAGAAGCGCACTATTGATTCACTAGTAGTTTTCAGAGTTAGCTAAGATAGGGTTAGTGGTTGTTGGCTAAATGATTCCGTCATTGGGGGGAAATGCCTGATTTGTGCATCGTCAAGAACATGCCCGATATTTAAGCCATTCCCTTAGAGCTCCTGAAATTGGAGTGGGTTAAAAATTGTAAGTCCCGGCGAGCCCGGTATGTAGACGGGCACAATTAGGGGGCGTAATGAGCTCTCGACTACAATAGCCACTAGCCTGAATTTCAGAATATTCGTCGTCGTGAGATTGTAAATAGAGTGCTTCTTCGCTTCCCTAGTCCTGCCCCTGGGGCTAGTATGGTGCCTTGCACTTAAAAATGTGCACCGTGATCCATGCAACCCATAACACTCAGAGGCTCCACCCTTTATGAAATCACTATTATATCCTATTATATATGTTAATCAAATACTAACTTTCACTGACAACTACTTTCTATAATTAATAATGTTAATACTTATCAATTGCTGGTTTATATCTGTAATTCTAATATTTGTGGCCTTGGGGTAAGATATTATTTTCTCTTGTAACTAAAAATGATCCTTGCCCAAAAAGTCATGAGTAGGTTGCCATTTTGCACCAAAATTGTACCACTTTAAGGGCAATTAACTTGCCCAAAAAGACGATAGAATTAATCAAACTAGGACTGTGTGTTTTCCAATTGCTTGACCTGTTTTATTAAAAATTGGATGATTTTTGTCACCCTTGTGTAAGTGCTGATAGCTAAAGATTTATTCATAAGGTGTTGCATTGTACCTTTTTTATAAAAAATTGGTATGATTCAAGGTATCTTTTGTCTATCCCCAGTTATTCTGGTATTTTTCTCCCAAATTCTATTGATAGAACTTGGTTTTTTTTTTTCTGAACAAAGCTTATATGATTCTAAGAAATTTATTGAATTTTAATTTTTTTATGAGAACAGTCAAGGTGGGGGTTTCTGGATGTAAAGTTACTCAGTTTTGGTGGAAAATGCTACCTTACTCATGACTTTTTGAGCGAGGTTCAAACATAATAGAGAAAACATAGTTGCAATACTTGACACTCTTTCCCCCTGAAATATCATGTGAGAGTATGTATATATCACAGCTACTAGGGATTTATAAAATGGAAAGATTGTATGATTAATATGTGAAGGATCATCTAGACTATTAGTAAGACTACAAGAAATAAAAGATAGTAGAAGGTTTTAGAATAAGGTCCTGTTTGATATGCCATTGTAAAAAAATACTATTGTATTTTAGGGAAATAGCTTATAAGCTGAAATAAAAATACTGTAGTATTTCTAGAACCAAAGATGTTTGGCAACAGTACTTATTTACAATAGTACAAGTACCAGGAAGGGTATTTTCGTACACAACATGCCAAGGATGTAGCTAAAGTGAGGGTGTGAGGATGAAAATACTGAACAGAAACACAACACTACTACAGTGAATCAAAGGTATTATGACTATAGAAGTACTAACAAATATCCGTGACAAGGGTCTTGCACGTGGGGGCTAAGATAAACAGGTTTTAAGAAAGAGTATAAATAGAGCACCTCCAGAGATTAAAATAATAAAAACGCTAAGTCTCGCAGGTTTTTGATCATACTAGTAGTAAACAGAAGAGAAATCAGAGTTGTAGCTACAATGGCTCCATCAGCACCATCTACACCTGCGGTTCATGTCAGAATAACCAGCTCTTTATGTTTCAAGATTTAGGTACTTTGTAAGTATAAAGCGTGGTCTTTCCACCACATTGCACAAGTGGTTGGAGTTGCTGTTAGTACTGTATACAGTATTTGCAAAGTACCTACCACTCTATGCAAGGTGAATCCTCATCCTGGACCTTTAAAACTATATAACACTCCTGTTAGAAAGTAACTGGTTGCTTTAGCTATGTTTAGTCAAAAAAATAGTCGATTACCACTCACTGAAATTGCAAATCTTGCAGAAGTACGGGCCAGTCCAGCTTTACTACATGAAGCATTTGCCAAGGAAGATTACCATAGGTGTGTTGCACAAATTCGGCCATATCTCAGCTACTACAAAGAAAGAGTAACTTGATTGGGCCTACCAATATGCAGACAGGACTCAGGCTGATTGGTATAAGGTAATTTTTAGGTCTACTATTATACAGTCACACCTTGTTATCCTAGATGGCTGAAATCTGAAGAATCTGTCGGGCATGGTTAGAGATCGGGGGTAGCAGGTCAGGTTTGGTATGGAAGGATTTAAATCCCATGGAGATCTGTATCGGACAAGGAACTGAAATATCTGATTAAGTAAAATCTGCGACAACAAGGTGTGACTGTACTAACTGAACTTAGACTAACTGGTGTAAGGTAATTGGGAGTAATGAATATGCTTTTAATATTGGAGGATTATCGTCAAGTAGAAGAACATAGATTACCAGAGTAGTGGGAGAGGAGGATAATGAGGATTGTTTAGTTCTAAAATTTCGGAAATTAAAAACTATTATAGTGAGTATCTTTAATATATCTGTTATACATAGGAGTATAATTGGTACGACACGTGACTATATGCATAAGGTCATGTGTTCAACTCCGGGCCTGGCAGTAGTTATCGTGATGATATCATATTATCGCATAGAACAATAAGGCATCTATGCAGCCTGCTCCCTGTGCTCCCCGGAGACACGAGGCATGCGACTGAGGGGTTTTCACTGGATAATATAGAAGGAGCTCCACTCTATAAGGCAAGACTTAGTTGATTCAGATTGGTTGATTAGTTATGGAGCTATGATCTTTGTAAGTCTATACTCTATTACAAAAAGTAATATGCATGCCCCCTTTAGCTTATGTGAACTAGAGCCATTCAGAAGACTAGTTTACAATTGGTTAGTAATGACTCACCAGTTGAGTTTGTTATCTTCGTTATGCACTCTAAGCTATGCACATAGAAGAGTCATTGATAAGTTCTTTGACGGAGCTGATCACTACACTCAACAAGAGACTGGGGAAGTTAGTTTTCATAGTCAAAGAGAGTTCACACTCCAGAGACACTTAATTATTAGTATAGCAGGTAC